AACTGGACCAGGTTGCTCCAAGCCCCATTCCACCTGGCCTTGGAGACTTCCAGGGATGGGGCAGCCACAGCTTCCCTGGGCAACCTGGGCCAGGGTCTCACCAGCCTCACAGGGAAGAATTTCTTCCTAATATCCAAGCTAAATATTCCCTCTCCCAGCTTAAAACCATTCTCCTTCCTCCTATCCTTCCTTCCTGCCCTTGTCCAAAGTCCCTTTGCAGATTTCCTTGAACCCCTCCAGGCACTGGAAGGTGCTCTAAGGTCTCCCCAGATCCTTCTCTTCTTCAGGCTGAACAGCCTCAACTCTCTAGCCTGTCTCCAGAGCAGAGCTGCTCCAGCTTTCAGATCATCTCCATGGACTCTTCTGGACTCTCTCCAGGAGCTCCATGTCCTTCTTGTATTGGGGACCCCAGAACTGGGCCCAGCCTTGCACGGGAGGTCTCACAAGAGCAGGGCAGAGGGGGAACATCCTTGATGCTTCTTTTTGGTGCAGCCTGGGATATGTTTGGCTTTCTGGGCTGAATCACTATTTTTCACGGTGATTTGGTGATGTTGCTCTTCATTTTTCTTCTCAACTGAAGGCTCTTCTGGCTCAGGGTTGCCATGTAGCAACATCTAATTGGTACAGACTTTAAGGAGGGAACTTGAAGGTGCAGGGAGATACATGATGCGCTTGCAGGGCTGTAACAGTTAACACCCAGAGGGTGTGAGGGGGTTAAGCAGAGAGAAGGGAAGGGAGAAAAATCAGAGTGGCTGGCAGAGCGATCCCACGCCAGGGGAGGGTCTCTGGGATGGAGGGGTCTGTGGCTGGGCAGTGGGGACTGCAGGGCCCTGGAGCTGTAGATACACCCTCCTGCTAGAAGCATTGCCCTCACCAGTGCCATTTTGCACCCACGTGTCACCTCTCTGGTGACAGTGCCTGGCCAAGATCCTCCTTCTGGGGGACAAGAAGTGTTGCCTCATCTGCTGGTCTCATGAGAGACGTGACCCTGGGCAGGGTGGGCAGGGATGACAGAACAATTGCTCCTCAGCCTCCTCCCTCCTGGGTGCTGTGACACCCACCCCAGGCTGGAGCTGCAGATAAATGGAATGGGTGCAGATGTATGCATCTAAGAAACAGAGTGTGGGAGAGGCAGGGTTGAGCCAAGCCTGTCAAGGCACAGCACCACAGTGATCAACCTGCAAAATGTGGGTGCTAAGGCATGGACTGGAACATCTGATTGGAAGGTTGGGAGGAAAAAGAGAAGGCTGAACTGTTTGTGTTTTGTTTCCATTCATCATTCTTGCTCATGTGGGTGGACAAGGAGTGAATGAATTCTTGAGAAGGGCAAGCAAGTAAGAGGCACACATTTCCTTGAGAGATGAGTGGCTTTTTTTTCTTCCTTTCACCTAGGTTTTTGTGCCCAAGAGGGGCTGGAGGGAACCCTAATAGCTTTTCTGCCATGTGAAAGAAACCACTTAGCTCTTGATTTTTCTTTTGATTGCCAAGAGAGAAAAGGTTTTTCAGGATAGGTTTCATCATCTAGTGAAGGGCTGGTTTGTCTCCCGACAGCAGATGTGTCCAACTTCTTTCCTTTGTACTGCTGAGCATCTCACAGAAAGGCAGCAGGACAATGCTCTCCCAGCTCAGGGCAGGAGGAGCAGCTGGGTCAGGCCTCCATACCATGATGGTCTATTTGGCAGAGGCAGCACTGCCTCTGTTCTGCCTCAGTTGTGCCTTCACCTGCTGGCAGGAGTCTGGAAGGTGCATTAATAAGCAGGAGATGCAGGAACACAGAGGGGCAGGGGTGAGCCAAGGGACAGCTGAGACCATGGCAGCATTGCTGGTGGGAGACTCCTGAGGTGAGTCTTGGTTTCCTTTGCCATGCTGCTTGCTGGAGCTTCTGACTGGCCAGTGGAACAGGAGACTTGGGAGGCCTCTCTCCATCCCAGTCCTTACCTACCTGGAAGGACTGCCAGATAGGGTTTATTTGACCATAGTCTTGCATAGAATATCTCCAGATTGGAGTCTCAGATTGGGTGCTGGGCTTTGCATTTTCCATATAATGTTTGGGCTCATCATTTATCACCTGCCTTTCTCACTTCACCCCAGACTGTGGCAGTGTCTCCCTGATGCCAGGAGTCAGGTGTGTCCTGGCAAAGGGTTGGCTCCTGCCACATGGCAGGTACCAATGCTCTCCATGGACTATGTACCCTCTGCTGCCAAGGGTCAAGTCTTTTCACCTTGGGGCAGAAAGGCAGATGCTCTGTTCCTCACCATACCAAAAGAGCTCTTCCTTTGACAGGATTTTCCCAATTCAGATCTGCAGGAACTTGTCTTCTGTTAAGGTGGAGGAAGCTGAGGATCTGCAGTCTGTGGAAGGTACTGAAGATGTGCAACTTGCCTGCCTGTGCTGTTGAGGGCCAACATCTCTTCTCAACAGAAAAGCTGCAGGGTTTCCTTAGGAGGAAAGGGACACTGGGACACTGCCTTTCATCTGACACCAGGCAGGGCTCTTTATGCCAGCAGCTTCCTTGACAGAAGGAAAGGGAGACCTGAGAAACACTTTGTTTTGTAGTAATTTCTGGGAAACTGTAGGAGCTGAACAAAAAAACCAGCCCCCATGGAGTTGTCTGAGGGCTCAAGGCCTGTGTCAGAGCTTGTCAAGACCCCAGGCAGAGTGGAGTCTCCCTGCCAGGATGGCAAGTATGATGGGTTTTGCAGCAGCAAGGTAGGCTTTGGAGAAATAAAGCAGCCAGGGGAGGAAACAGTTTTTTTTTTAAATAATGGCTCTTCATGAGGGGTTCTGGCTGGTGCCTGAATGCAGAATGAACTGGCTTTGCTGCCTGGCAAAGGGAAAATATGAAAGATGAAGAAATAAAACCCCAGAAGGCAATAGGTATGGATGGGTCAGGGACATAAACATTCAAGGATAACTGCATTGAGGTGGATTTTGCAGAAGAGAAAAGAAGCTGGCAAGTGTTGAAATTTGCCACAGTTTTGATCATTCTTAAACAAGGTGGAAACTTGAAAATATCTGCCAACCTCAGGACTGAGCAAGGGTGATGTCAGCTAAGAACCACAGACAGAACTGGAGAAAACCTTTGTGAGACAAAATGAGTAGCAGAAGAGGCCCCAAAGATGTGGTAGCTGGTGATGGAGACACAGTGAAATGGGGGTAGGGTTCCCTACCCTGAGGAACAGACATGGGAGCTGCAGAAAATGCATCTGGAAGCAAAGGGTGAGATTTGAAAAATACTATTTGGCAAACTGGCTTTGGAACCCAAATGTTTTTGTCCATCTCTCCACGCAGATAAAAGCAATGCATGTCCCTAAGCTACAATAAGGGCTTGAGCACACTAAGCTCTTTCTAGGAAGCTTTGAAAAGAGCATTGTGGTCAGGAGGCCACATGGTGATGCATGGTACAGCTCAGAAGCAGAGGAAGACCCTGGGCAGATCACTGCCTAAGCCACCTGGCAATGAGAAACCTGGGGGGAGGTGTTAGGAAGGAATGTGACTGAGGCTCAGCAGTCCATGGGCATGTTAGGAGGAAGCCATGACTCTTAACTGTGTGCTTTCCTATCAGCCAAACCACACCACTTCCTGGATACTGGTCAGCCTTGTCCCTGCATACTTTGGGGACATCCACAGCACATGCACATCCACAGCATTCCCTTGGGAGAAATGCCCTCCAGGCCTGGGGGATGAACTGGGACCTTCTCCTTTCACTTGTTCTTTTGAGACCTGTAGTGAACTCAAGCATGACTTCCAGGTGAGGATCAGCCCTCTGACACCAGCACATTGCAGGAGTCTTTTAGCTCCTTGCTGGTCATCACCCTAATAAACAGAACCTCTCCTAGAGCCACAAAACCCCCCATAAGGCCAGGGTGCAGCAAGCAGGAGGAGGGAAGGCATCCCTCCCTTCTCTGTGACATTTGGAAATCTCAGGTGGAGGTTGGGTTGAGATTGGGACTTTCCAGCACTAGGAAGACATTGACAGCCTGGAACGAGAGCAGCAGAAGTTGGGGGCTGGAAATCAGGAAGTATAAGAAGAATCTCAGTGAGCTGGCTTTGTTCACAGCCTGGAGAAGTGAAGACCTTGGTGCTGCTGGCCACCACCTGCAAGTGGAAGTAGAGGGCCAGAGCCTCTCTGATGGCAGGGGGTCGAGAGAGAGGCAACAGGCACAGGGTGGAACACAGGCAATTTCTGTTAGACATAAGGAAAAACTTGTTTCACCATGAAAGTGATCAAAACTGGAGCAGGTTCACCAGGGAGGTTAAAGCCCAAGGTAGGCATCACCTGGAGCAATCTATCCTAGCTGGCCCTGCAATGTGACCTCCTGAGGTCCCTGCCAGCTTCAGTTATCCTGTTAGACCTCCTGAGGTCCCTGCCAGCTTCAGTTATCCTGTTAGTTTATGAACGAGGGTCAAGTCTCTGTGGAGCAATTGAAGAGAGGTATTTTTAAAGTATGTTATTTTAGCTCCATTCTCTCAAAGCCAGTGTTCAGATTGGGCTGGTGACTGCACGCAGGGCCTTGCCTTATTAGTTTCATATGTCAAAATGCCCAACAACCTACAGAAAATAATTATTTTCTATTTATATGGGGGAAGAGATTTAATCCTGAACCATTTCCCAAATGATAAGAGAAACGCGAGCATCTCTGGTGATGAAGACTAGTTGTCTCCACAACAGCTAGGCTGGACAGCAAGAAAATACTGCTAAAAGGACATGGGGCCAGTGGCCTTTTACGAGGCCAAGTGTCCTGGACTCCAAAATGTCCCAGAGACAGGGAGAAAGCACCCTTTTCAAAATTGCCCCAGAGATCTCACAGGTATCTTGTGTTGAATTTCTCCCAGTTGTTGGACCCCTGTGTTCCTGCTGGGATTTCAACCTGCAAACAGGCAGAAAACAAGGATTAGCAACTCAAATTAGCAACTCAAGTCCTTTGGAAGTAAAAGGAAGACCAGAGGAAGTGTGGGCCCACTGCTGGATGAAGCAGGTGCCCTGGGGATGGAGGACATGGAGAAGGTGGAGTTACTTCGTGCCTTCTTTGCCTCAGTTGCTAAGGTTGACCCTCAGGATTCCCAAACCTTCCAGACCACAGAAGAAGTCATGAGTGAGGAAGACTTCACCTTGATTGAAGAAGATTGGGTTAGAGAACAATTAAGGAAACCGGACATCTACAGACCCATGCGATGCACCCATGTGTGCTGAGGGAGCTGGTAGGAATCATTGCTAGACCACTCTCCATCCTCTTTGAAAAGTCCTGGAAAATGGGAGAGGTGCCTGAGGACTGGAGGGAAGCCAGTGTCACTGCAGTCTTCAAGAAGGGCAAGAAACAGGAGTCAAGTAACTACAGACCAGTCAACCTCACCTCCATCCCTGGGAAGATGATGGAGCAGCTCATTCTGGGGGTCATCTCTAAGCACATGGGAGAAAAGGAGGTTATCAGAAGTAGCCATCAGAGGTTCACCAAAGGGAAATCATGTCTGACTAATCTGATAGCTTTCTATGATGGTGTGACAGAACAGATAGATGCAGGGAGAACAGTGGATGTATCTTCCTCAACTTCAGCAAGGCTTTTGACACAGTCTCTCAGAACATCCTCGTGGATAAGCTCAGGAAGTGCGAGTTAGAAGAGCAGACAGTGAGATGGATCAAGAACTGGCTGAACAATAGAGCCCAGAGGGTTGTGATCAACATTGCAGAGTCCAGCTGGAGACCTGTGACTAGTGATGTTCCCCAGGGGTCAGTACTGGACTCAGTCTTATTCGACATCTTCATCAATGACCTGGATGAGGGGATGGAGTGTATCCTCAGCAAGTTGGCTGATGATATGAAGCTGGGAGGAGTGGCTGAAACACCTGAAGGCTGGGCAGCCATTCAGTGAGATCCCAACAGACTGGAGAGCTGGGCAAAGGGGAACCTCATGAGGTTCAACAAGAGTGAGTGCAGTGTCCTGCACTTGGGGAGAAAAAACACCATGAATCAGTACAGATTAGGGGTTGACCTGCTAGAAAGCAGCCCCATGGAGAAAGACCTTGTGGTCCTGGTGGACAATGAGTTATCCATGGGACAGCAATGTGCCCTTGTGGCCTAGAGAGCCAATGGTGTCTTGGGGTGCATTAAGAACAGTGTGGCCAGCAGGTCAAGGGAGGTTCTCCTCTCCCTCTACTCTGCCCTCATAAGACCACATCTGGAGTACTGTGTCCAGTTCTGGGCTCCCCAGTTTAAGAGGGACAGGGATCTACTGGAAACAGTCCAATTGAGGCTACGAGGATATTAAGAGAATGGAACACCTGTCCTATGAGGAAAGGCTGAGAGACCTGGGGCTGTTTAGTCTTGAGAAGACTAAGAGGGGACGTCATTAATGTCTACAAATATCTGCAGGGTGGGTGTCAAGAATGGGCCAGTCTCTGTTCAGTGGTGCCTGTGATAGGAGAAGGGGAAATGGCACCAAGTGACAACACAGGAAGTTCCACCTCAACATGAGGAGAAACTTCTTTCCTGTGAGGGAGCCCTGGGACAGGCTGCCCAGAGAGGTTGTGGAGTCTCCTTCTCTGGAGACTTCAAAGACCCATCTGGACACGTTCCTGTGTGACCTGCCCTGGGTTTTCCTGCTGCAGCAGGGGGGTTGGACTCCATGATCTTCAGAGGTCCCTTCCAGCCCCTATGATTCTATGATTCTGTGAAATGCTTGGGCATTTAAACTGTGTTTTCTGGAGAAGGGCAGGGTAGAGCAGGAGAGCTCCAGATCAAGTTCTGCTACGGGGTATCTCCCTCCTTCTCAGGCAGAGTCTGTGTTGCTGTCTGAACAAAGTATAAGGGCAAGGGGAATTTCCACACAGATTTTTGTTAAAAGCAGAGAAAAGTCAGGTTGTTTCCCTACTCCTTCCAGCAGAGCCCTGAATCCAAAGCCCTGCTCTTCCCTCTGCCGTGGGAAATGCTCCTGGTCCCTTCTGCCTGTGTTCCCTGCTACAGTTTTGCATGGTCACCGAGCAGGGAAAGCTTTCAGAAACATCTGAAAACAGAGCAAGGACGTGGAGCTGTTGGAGTGTGTCCAGAGGAGGCCACAAAGGTGATCCCAGGGCTGGAGCAGCTCCTGTGGAGCCAGGCTGGGAGAGCTGGGGTGTTCAGCCTGGAGAAGAGAAGGCTCCAGGAAGACCTTAGAGCACCTTCCAGTGCCTGAAGGGGCTCCAGGAAAGCTGGGGAGGAGCTTTTACAAGGGCATGGAGCGCTAAGAGGGAGGGGAACGGCTTTAATGGCATCTCCCCGTGGGAGTGGGTAGATTTAGCCTGGGTATTAGGAGGAAATTCTTCCCTGTGAGGGCGATGAGCCCCTGGGCCGGGTTGCCCAGCGAAGCCGCGGCTTCCCCATCCCTGGCAGCGTTGAAGGGCAGGTTGGATGGGGCTTGGAGCAACCCGCTCTGGTCGCAACTAGACGATTCCATTGCAGCTCAGGAGGGATC